ATATAATGAATATGAAGGTAAATAAATAAGTATTATTACTAGGGTTACACTTCATACATGAATGGGGAATTTGAACTGCCAACCTTCGGGTTCACAGTTCAGTGCTGATCCTGAGAGCTGGAAATACCACCTTTAGAAATGTATAGACATAGAAGATATGTCAAGAAACAATAGCCTCACATTTTGATATTTTTTGTTTAACAAAGATTTCCATGATTTTGTAGCAATACTTTTTCTTACTTGCAAATAACTATGATTATTGTACAGCATGTTGTTGTTGTTAAGTGTGGTCTAGTTAGTTCACAGTAAAGCATACAGGGGTTAGAATTATAAAAACTGTTCAGCCATAATTAAACACCTGGAGGGAATGAGTCACTGGGTCTGGGGACATCAAGGTCAACTGACACAACAGTTGGAACATAGTCCAACAAGACAGTGTTCTACATCTTATTCTGATGAGTAGCGACTAGGATCTTAAAAGCTTGTAAGAAGCTATCTAAAGTGCAACTATTGGTCTCTCCCCACCTGGAACAAAGAAGAGAAGAAAACCAAAGTTTCATGGAAACAATTAGTATAAAAGACTGATGAACCATGCAAACCCAGCCTCCAGTCCCAGAAGCTACCGCTGACAACACTCTGAAAAGCATCGCATTAGGAGGTTCTGGATAGAGTGAGAGAAAAATATGGAACAAAACCAAAAATTATTCAAAAAATGAGTAGCCTTATTGATCTGACAGAAACTGATGGAACCCCTGAGACTATGACCCTTTAAGTCACTCCCATGTCTCAACTTTCAGCTAAACAATTGTTATTGTTGTTATGTGCCCGTGGAGTCAGTTCCAACTCAATAGGAATGCCTATAAAGGGAGCAATAACACCAGGGATGTATGTACTCCCTAGAATAACCAGCTATAGGAGATTAAATGACAGCTTTGAGGGGGATAAACTCAGAGAGCAGGCAGGGATAGTAAAGCATGAATGGAAATAGTAAACACAGGGAGGAAACGGGAAGAGTGCTGATACATTAACTCACACAGAGAAGTTAAATTGTAAAGATTGTAATCAATGTCATGAATCTAAATGTGTATGAATTATTGAATGGAAAATCAATTTGCTTTCTAAAAAGTTTTTTTTTGGAAAATAAATACAATCACTGTAGAGAACCAGCCCTTACCTCTGCTTACAGTTTACTCAGGAGGCTGAGTAGAAAAGACGTTGACTTCATAGGAATGAAAAAAAATTAATCTCCCAAAAGCAGACTTCTTGAAGAAAAAAAAGTGACAAACAAGTAAAATGAAATAACAGGAACACATCACACACTTCAAAGCTCTCAAATCCCAAGATGAATGTCCAGGAGTTTTTCATATAATTCTCATTTCGTCCCATTTTAGAGCAGACTTTTAATGTAATATTGGTACAATTAAAGAACAACAGAGTCAATAAATAGAGATAGAGTTAATAACATTTAATGCATTTTGTCAGGCTAGATATTTTTATTCAGTTCATTTATTAGTATTACAAGTGGTAAGTAGTTATTTATCTTACTAATTCATGCACTAAAATTGCACATATTGTAAAACTCTAAGTTTTATTCAAAAATTTGTTTTATTTTATCACATAAATTTAAAAGCAGCCAGACTGCTCAATCACAACCATGGCACCAACAGATTATATAATTAGTAAACAATTACAGCAAGGCTTTAATGATATATTAAATAAGAAGTAGAAATTATAAATTTGTTTCCTAATAGGAAGTACATATTTGAAACACATATACCAGAGAAATAATGATACTAGATGCCTTGATATTACATGGAAAATACCTCCACCACCACTAATAATAACTATGATAATAATATAAACAAAACCAATATTGAATAAATATTGATTAAATGGTTGTTTTGAACCATAACTGTTCTAAGTGCCTTATATATATAATCTAGTACTAAAAAATTTACTAACTCATTAAAAAACAGTGAAAACAGAGATATGAACATATTTATAAAATAGAAATCCCCTTTTTAACAGGATACAATTATGAAAGATTAAGATTAATGTTTCTATTTTACATCTTTATCTACATGTCCAAAAGTTTGCAATCCTTACTATACAGTACATGGCTTCTTTTTGCTTGCTAATTTTTCCAATTTAAATGTGTTGAATAGATCTAATAATGAGAAGGGAATAAAAGGTATTGCAAGAGTGGCTTATATGTGTATTGGTTAAATCTCAGTTTTTTTTCATTATTATTTTGGATTTTTTGTATTATAATTTGGCTTATGTTAGTGGTCAGTCTTCCCCCTCCTCCTCCTCTTCAGGCTTGTCTTCTTTTTCCTCCTTTTCTTTCTCTTCTCTTTCCTCCTCTTCTTTCTCTTCTCTTTCCTCTTCCGCTTCCCTCTTCTCTTCCTCTTTCCCCTTTTTTTCTTTCACTTCCTTCATTTTCTGTTCCTTTGACTCCCTTTCTTCCTCTATTTCAGATTCATCAGGGGTAAATGTCATCTGTTGTTCCAATAAGATATTTGGAAAGCGGTACTGTATCATCAAAACTAGTATGGTACTCAGTATAAAACACACTAGTCTCAACAGTAAAATAAATATGCAAAGTGGATCACACACAATTGGCCTGGGCACTTCCCACTTTGGATACCAAAATCGATAATCTGTAAATAAAGAAACAATTGAAAACTAGAGTTCACACAGAGAAGTTCAATTGGTCAAGAAATAAAGGAGAACAATACATACATATGACTTCATCACGATCCGCATTACCTAGAAAGAAAAAGAAAGCTCTTGAAGAATTACATAACATTTCTTATTATTCTAGAATATAAGGTAATTTTGCCAACAACAGAGTCATCCTTCTCCTACTTCCCAGGCAACATGCAATCATCTTTGATGTACCCCTGCCAAACACTAGTCAACTGGAAAGTGCAATCACTCTCTTTTAGTACAAGTTACCTTATCTGCTAAAGGAAGCATCAAAGTACAGTAGTGAGAAGATACAGATTCTAGTACTAACTCTGCCTCTAAATGATTGTGTCATCTTATATGCATTCCTGCCCTCTAAAGTTTGTGTTAGCTCCAACATTTTAGGATTCTACAATATCTCCTTTTTTTTTTTTTTTCTTCCCCAGATCACTTAAAATTAAGCTTCTGAATCTACTCACTTTCCTCATTTAATAATTTTCAGAAGCTTTCAGTTGCTATTCATTTGCTGCTCTTCATTTCCTAGACAGCAACATTAAGTTTATAGTGTGGCATTTATTATTTTTAGTATCTAGCCCAAAGCAATTAGAACAGTCATTTAGGAATTGAATTCCCTTTCTGTTTCCACCTGGATAGAGAGGCTCAGTACAATCATTCCGATCTTCCACTAATAAGGCAAATGAATTCTCACACATTGAGAACCTAATGACATAGGCTTTGTCTTATAATGATATTATCCATGGGGGAATTTTTAGAACTCACTATCTAGGAATCTTGGAGATAAACGGACCTTCTGTGGATCTTAAAGCTTATTTCAGTCTTTCATGTGTTATTAGAGACTTCATATTTTACGTAATACATTCTGCTTTAAGGCTTTTTTGTAAAAAAAAATCCTTCACTACAAGGTTTGTAGCATTTTCTATATAGTATTCTGTGCATGTATTTGTACCATAATACAGGAATGCTGTATTTAGTACATGTCTTCTTTGCATTTGTTGACATTTCTCATCATAGATTTTCACTGATTATATCCTTTTACTTGTGCAATTAAAATATTTAAATATATTACTTACTGATGAATATTAAATACTATAGCCTTCAGTATGGATTGTATCTCAACGTAAAGAAACAAAAATCCTCACAAGTGGACCATAAATAATATGATAAACAGAGAAAAAACTGAAGTTGTCTAAGACTTCATTTTGCTTGAATCTACAATCAACACTCAGAGAAGCAGCAGTCAAGAAAGCAAGACATATATACAGTATTAGAAAAATATGCTGCAAAAGACCTCTATAAGTGTTAAAAAGCAAAGGTATGTGCTTGAAGACTAATGTGTGACTAACCTAATCCATGGTATTTTCAACCACCTCTAAAGCATGTGAAAATTCGACAATGAATAAAGAAGACCACAGAAGAATAAATGCATGTGGATTATGGTGTTAGAGAATATTGAAACTACCATGGAGTGCCAGAAGAAGAACAATAAAAACAACTGTGTTGGAAGAAAGAAGTATAACCAAAATGCTCCTTAGAAGCAAGGATGGCAAAACCCCACCTCTCAGTCTTTGGACTTGTTATCAGAGGGATTAGTCCTCAGAGAAAGACATCATTCTTGGTAAAATGAAGGATCAACAAACAGAGGCAGACACATTGCAAGACAAATTGATACCATGGCAGCAACAATGGGCTCACATATAACAATCATGAGGCTGGCCCAGGACAGTTGTGCAGCATAGGGTCACTATGAGTCCGAACTGACCCAACAGCAGTTGACCTAACAACAACAGATCTCTATTGTTTATCAGTCTTAAATATTATCTTTTTTTCTCCTGGCTATAAAAATTGGATAAATAAGCATGTCCCGATTTTTATTACTTACATCCTTTTTGATGTTGCCAAAATTACTTTCATTTTGTTTTTTAACTACACTCATCAGATTCACTTTAGTATTACTCTATCAGTTACAAAGATTCTTTGCTTAGTATTAGTTCTTTTGAATCAATTTTTCTATTCTTCTCTCTTTTTTGTTTGGTGAAGGCCATGCTCTAAGAATTTATTTAGTAAGTGCTCATAAGAACTGTATACCACGAGTTACCACATGTTCAGGTTTATTTAACTATTCTTTAGTATTAGGTTTGTTGTTGTTACTGCTGTCAAGTTCTGACTCATAGAATCCCTTATGTAAAACAGAAGGAAACACTATCCAGGCCTGTGCCATTCTCACAAAATGGTGTTGTTGCCATGGGGCCAATTCAACTTATAGAGGGTTTTCCTCATTTTCCCGGACCCTCTACTTAACCAAGCATGATGTCCTTGTCTAGGGACAGTCCTTCCTGATAACATCTACAAAGTATGAGAGACCAAGTCTAACCACCTTGTTCCCAAGGAACAGCACAGCTGTACTTCTAAAATAGATTTGTTTTTCTGGTTGTTGTTGTGAAGTGTTGTCAAATCAGTTCTGACCCACAGCAACCCGTGTAGGGTTTCCAAGGAACAGCTGGTGAGCTTAAACTGCCAACCTTGCAGTTCAAATGGCTTTTCAGTCTGGCGCATTAACCCACAGCACCACATATTCTTGACCAGCAGCATAGATGTTGCTGTTGTTGTCAGGTGCCATCGAGTCGGAACCGACTCATAGCGACCCCATGCACAGCAGAATGAAACAATGTCCGATCCTGGGGCAACCTCACTACCGCTGCCACACTTGAGTCCATCAATGATGCAACCTGGCCAATCCATCTCGTTAGGGGTCTTCCTCTTTTTCTCTGA